AGTATCCTGTTCTTACATTTATTGATGTACATGAACGTTAAAGGTTATTCTGTTCTTACATTTATTGATGTACATGAACGTTAAAAAGTTATCCTGTTCTTACATTTATTGATGTACATGAACGCTAAAAAGTTATCCTGTTCTACATTTATTGATGTACATGAACGCTAAAAAGTTATCCTGATCTTATATTTATTTCTCTCGAATTAAAAATGACAGTTTCTACACATCATATCATCTATACATTCCAAGACAGTCTCGTATCAAGATAACTTGATTCGCTATTATCCAACAAATCTACATTAACCCTCAGTTGATATGCAGAAGACACAAACTTACGTATATGTAGAAATGTTGTATAAATGCATCCCCTGTATTTGAATTACAATGTCTTTCTGCGTTTGTATATTATACAAATCCAGAACTTCTAACCGCACTATGCCGTGATACTGATGATGGTGCACGCATGCGCAAGGGGCATTATTTGAATCTATAGGTAGAGTGGTCCAGCCATCTTTCCCCATGTGCGTTTATTATGAATCACATGTTAAAGTAGAAGTTTGTGCATTAAAATTTTTTATTCGCGAATAAGTTAGTTCAATAGTAAAGTTCCATTCCAATAACACACGTAAGTAATGTGTTATATTCGAAAGTCGAAACCTCTATACTTAAAAGTTTGACTAACCCTCTCTAATTCAAGAGGTCCTCATTTGAAAAAAATTAAATTAAAATAAAATAATAACGTTATAAGGGACGAGGTTTCACTTTCATCTTTTAAAGATTAATTATTTAATCGAAAATAATTTGTTACTGGTTCGTTATTGGCTGACTTAAATTGTGAAGCTCATCCGGGTTCTTTCTAAGAACCGATTTTACTTCTTGTTTATAAGAATGACTTCGATAAATTGTCTTTTAACTTTGACATAAAAATTTGCGTAGTCACTTCTGTTTGGTCGGCATTTAAAATTAGGGTCAGTGGCAGATACCCATATTAGTTTTGTTGTTGTTGTTTGTTATTAAGCGCAAACCTACACAAACGGTTATCTGTGCTCTGTCCATCACAGGTATCGAAACCCGGTTTCTAGTGGTATAAGTCCGCAGATATACCACTGTGCCACTGGGGTGGGGTGGGGTGGAGATCTATTAGCTTTGTCATAAACAAACAAACAAATCATTTCAAACAACTTTATCCCATTATTAATAATATTCTTGTGTTATGGATTAACCTTTAATTCTTCCGAAACGTCTTGATGTTAAATCTTCATGAAAATTTGTGTTATCTTCTAGATCTTTGAAGCTACATTCTGTGACACCCTTCTAGTGTCATTTTCTTATCAGTATTATTCACTACCAACAAATAGTGGGATCGATCGATATATCACAACGCCCGAACGGCTGAAAGGACGAATATGTTGGGCGGGAGATCACAAGTCTAGCGCCCTAATCACCAGGCCCTGTTCGAGACACACAAAGCAAGAATTTCGATGGTGAAATGAAACAATTTCAAGATAGAAGTCACATATAACGTAGGCTAAAAGAATAAAGAAAAAAGAACAATTTCATAGTTTGTAATGTTGTTTACCCACATTTCAACCACACTGAAATTTGAAAGCTTGTTGTAATCCTCTTGACAACGATTGCCTGTTTTTAACTTTTACAGAAAATAGTCAGCCAAACTCGCTGGGTATCTATAAACTATCTTTTCTCCTATTCGCTGATATAGCTCTGATTATGAAAAGTGAAAAGTTTGTTGTAAATCTTAAATAGTTTTTATTGTTCATTTTAAACGCAAAGTTATAGAATGAGCTATATGCGCGCTGTCCACCACGAGGAATCGAACCCTAGTTAGAAGAAGATCAGTTATGCCTAATTAGGAATAAAAATTTAACACTGTCACTTATAGCTACATTCATTACCTAATGAAATTACAAGAAAATAAGATATTCCGGATGTTACCATTCCATCCCTGAAGTTGGTTTTGTACTGTTACGACAGCGGATGTCACGCGACGCTGGAAGCATGCGCGCTTGAGTTTGTAGAAGGATCATGACTGTTCCTGGCAACTCTAGTCTTTTCCAGGCGCCCTCTATTTTTGTATATAAGCCCGGCAACTAAAGATTGCAGATAGATAGATATGTAGATAGATAATTGAGTCAAGCAATAAGTAGGCACCGTAAGTAAATTGCGTGAATCGTTGTGAGTTATAGCGTGTGTTTATAAAA